CTAAAACTCTGATGGCCATGTGCTCAGAGCTCTCCAAGCCTGTCTATGCCCCTCCCGAGCCCCTAATGCTCATCCACAAGTAAATGTTGACATTCAGTTTTGTTTCTCTTCCTTAGAGCCTGACTCAAAGAAGTATTATGAAATATAAATGAGCAAGCCTATTTTCTGTAATTCCGTAGACTCAGGATCCACCCTGCTTCTTTTCCAGCTGTCTGTCGATTCCCATGTCAGAACGGAGGTATCTGCCAGCGCCCAAATGCGTGCTCCTGTCCGGACGGCTGGATGGGGCGCCTCTGTGAGGAACGTGAGTCAGTCCTGAAATCTTACATGCTACATCCTCAAATCTTACTTTGAGTCCTGATAATTTGCCTGGAAGCTGCCAACTCAGGGGAATTTCTAGAAACTGGCTTTACTGGTGGCAGCAATTCATGTGCTTAAATCTTGTAGCAGACCAGACAGAAAACCTAGGGCTGATCTGAGCATGCCAGTTAGCTGCAGAAGATATGGAATATTTGTGACCTTGAAAATATCATTGTCATGACCCACCCAGAGCTATCTCCACATGCCTTGTGGCACGAATTTGCAGGAATCTTCTTGGAAAGGAGTTTATGATGGAGGGTTTCTCAGCCTTTTATGATCTATGCCCTCAGGGTTACAGTTGGTATAAATTCATGGCATTGCATAACATTGTGAGTTGCAGGTAATATTTGCAGCCCACTGTTCACTCTTTTTCTTTAAGGGTAGTTCTTCCCAATTAAGAAAATAAGGACCATTGGTACTCCTACATCTATACAGTGCTAGATGAATTAATATTGAATTTTGAGTCTCATAAAAATATGAATTTGAATTTGAACTTCCAGGAGAAAGTAAACAAGTGATTTTAAGTGTTTTTTTAATGTCTACAGTACCCTTTGTTTCAGTATCTTAAAAAATATATATGAGGTCAAAATGATTTCGTATTTCATTGGGAGTGGCATATGTCAGTCACATGAAGAATCATAAATGTGGTGGCTGTTGGTCTCTTTCAGTTTTATCTGAGGACGTGCATTTTATAAGAAACTCTAAAACTGATTAAGTGTAATCATTTCAACTAATCTAAAAAGGAAAATAGAAAATGGAAATAAATGTGGGCTGCTGACAGCTCACCAGAGCAGGTGTTCTCAGAGCAGTGATTAAGAAGAGAGAGTGCATTTGTCTTTCCGCCTCTCCCCAGCCATTCCTTTCCACTTAGATCTACCGTTACAGCTTGATGGCTATAACGCTAAGAGTCTAAAGACTGGAAGAACATTTTCCCTGCGTTGCCCTAACCACAGGCCTGGCTTAGCTCACTGAGCCCCTGCCTGTCCCCCTGCATCAGACCAGGGCTGCCCAAGCTTTAGCAAACATACAGACATCTGGGAGATGTTGTTAAGGGCAGATTCTGATTCAGTAGATCTGGGTTGGGACCTGAGATTCTGCATTTCTAAGCAACTCCTAGCTAATGCTGATGCTTTTGGTTTGAGACCCGCCCTTGGAGTAGCGAACCAAAAGACAATGCTACTCCTTTTCAATAGACTATGCCTCTTTAAAGAACTGAGGAATTTCTAAGAGGAACGATTGCCCTGAAGGGTGTAGGGAGGGCTGATTGAGTTACCATCAGGCCTCAACTACAGGAAATAAAGGGTGACTTGTCCCATCACTACTAATGTGTTGCCAACACCAGCCTACAGAATAGACCACCTGACTTCCATTTTCACAGTTAGTTCAAGGTAAGAAGAGAGCCTTGAGATAGCCAAACCCTGTTAGAGCATTTTATGTAATTTGAAATGGAAATTTGGAACGATAATAAATGGAGAACATTCTGCTTAGTTTGTGAAGAGAAAGCAAACCACTTAATGGACATCGATTATGGTATGTTCTCTCTGAAAGAGAGCCTTTGGCATTAGAGTCATTACATCAGGCTAAGGGGCCAGACTTCCTGATTGCATTTCCCAGTGACACTGGCTCATAAACACAACAGATACAGGAAGATTAGCTGATGGGTCATGCGAGGTTTCACTCATCCCGGAAAACGTTTTTTGAACGCTTAAACATAACTGAGTGTGTGTATTTTGATCAAATCCTTTGTGGTGTCCTTTCTAGCAATCTGCATCCTTCCCTGTCTGAACGGTGGTCGCTGTGTGGCCCCTTATCAGTGTGACTGCCCACCTGGCTGGACGGGGTCTCGCTGTCATACAGGTAGGCTTGTTTTCCTGGTGACTTGGCTCTATGAAGCCCTAGAAGAAACTGATGAGTGTGATTCGGATGTGAAACAAAAGGGTGCCAAAGTGTCTCAGGATTTTCTCAAGTTGGTCATTCTAACCAAAGGCATGGAAGTATAAGGCAGGTGTATTCAGCATAGTATGGCTGGAGCCATAGAGGAAATACAGAGATATGGCTGGAAATGCAGGCTTAAAGATGGACAGAGCCAGGTTAGGAAATGCACTGCCTGGCAGGTTCCAGGTGCTGGATTATGTCTTGTGAGCAACAAAAGCCACTGAAAGGGTTTAAGCAGGAAAATCATGTGATCACATTTTCTTTTAGACAAATTGTTTTGGGAGCAATACAGTAAACAGCAGAAAGCAAGACTTATAATAGGGAGACCAGTTAGGAAGTTAGCAAAGCAGAATTAGCAAGAGGTAAGGAAGTCTGGAGAAATAATAATAAAAAAAGGATGGGTTTAAGAGATGTTTGAGAAGTGCATCAGTACTACTTATTATAGATTTATTGTGGGAATAAAGATCTGAGAAGAGTTCAAGACTGATGGCCCAGTTTGGGCCCCTGAGGGGAAGGTGGTGCCATTTACTGAGTTAGAAAATCCGAGAGGAGCAGGTTTGAAGGTATAGATAAGGAGGTAAGTACGGACATGCCGAGTTGGAGGGGCCTGTGAAACGTAAGAGGGAGAGGTCTGCAGGACAGTTGGATGATGGTTAGGTGCCCAGAAGATGCGTCTAGATTGAAGTTACAGATATTTAAGTCATCACTGGAAAACATTCAAGGGGAAAAAAAGAAGACTGTGCAGAAGAACATAGAAGAGACACTGGCCCAGAATGGATCATTGGGGGCACCCATGGGTGCAGGGAAGGAGAACAGTGTTAAGCTTTGAGACAGGGAAGTGAAAATAATGGCTAATTAGTTGATACAGTCAGTCCTCGCAAAATCATTGTGCTCCTGAAAAGGAGTCATTTACAGAAAACCTGTATGTAAGCACTGTACTAGGTACTGGGGAGCTAAGGATCACAAAGAAACATCCCTGCCCTCAAGTGGCGTATAATCTAGTGGAGACAGGAATAGACTGATAATCAAGAAATTAGACCTCACAGTACAGTGGCATAAGTGCTGTGTTTGAGAAAGGCAAGAGTTGTTAGGGAGACATGTTTGTCACCAGTCAACAATCGTTTGTTACTGTCATCCATGAAAAGGAACCATCTCTTTAATGAATTTTTTTCACTGTAACTTAAATTGCATCTATTTCAAGTTCTTTCTAAATAGTTATCACCAATTTAGTAATTTAGCTTCATAGAGATTAAAATTCTTCTGACCCTCTGCATGTTTTCTCTAATTCTGCAAAACAGAGCAGATGACATGAAGAGGGCTGACAACTGTGTCAACTTATAGATGCTCTTTGGCACATGACCTTGAAAGGCGCCTTTGCAGCTGTCTTACACTTCACATTGGAGCCCACCATTCAATGAACCTTTTTTTTTTTTTTATATTAGCAGAATCTATGGAGAGTTAGTTTTAGATTACTGGGTTTTCTTTTCGCTATTTTTAATCCTGCTTGGTTTCATAATTCCCTTTTATTATATTGCATATCTGTGCATTCCATTGAGCCACTCCTGCTGTTCACTTGCCAAGAGAGCTCCTCAGGGCAAAGACGGTGTCCTACTTCTTGTCCTCTCTCTTCTCACCGGGTGCTTATCAAGTACCTGGTGCATACTGACATTTTCCCTGCATTTTATGAATGAGTGATTAAAGAAGTGACATTTACTCATATCTCACCAGAAGTGAGTTTTTCATCTGGGGAAGCACACCTTTCCAAGACCCACTGAGGCTGAAATGATGACACCTGTACATTTCCCATTGCCAGCCTTCTCTGGACAGGCATTTTATGTTCTTCCTCCTGGGAATTCTCCTTTCTCTTTGATATGTTAAACTTACTGGTATTAGGTCCTCATTCGTTTTTAGCATCCTTAGGTTTTTTTTCTATTTATTCACAAGAGTAGGTTCATGAAGATGGAAAGTTTGGTTATGACACTGAGAAAGAAGTCTATACAGTAAATCTTTGGGTGTTCATTAAGGGTTTCATCTGTGGCTAATTTTTAACTCCATTGTAGGTTCTGTAATTCTAACTAAAGCTGATAAAAACCTTGAAATGTGTTTCCTAGCAAACGCAAAGGGCTTTTCAATCGTCTGTTGTTTTATACAGTCGATGTGCCTGATTTACTGTTGTAAGAGTTGATGTTTGATGTAATGACTCAGTCATTCACAGAATTCAGTGCTAGCTCCCTGGAGAGATTTACAATCTGAGCATATGAAAAATTTACAGTTCAAAAGAGTATGTGTCAAATTGGTTGCACAAATAAAAAGATTAAAGAAAAGAAAAATCACATTGAGTTCATAATACAGAATTGCTATGTATTAATTAAGTAAATATGCATGAATTTTCCTCCCAGCTGTTTGCCAGTCTCCCTGCCTGAATGGTGGAAAATGCGTCAGACCAAACCGATGCCATTGTCTCTCTGCTTGGACAGGACATGACTGTTCTAGGTAAGACAACCAAAGACTAATGTTTATCTGTAACATGAAAGAGACTGAAATTCAAGTTATTTTGAGAGCCAGAAGGTATCTCTAGTTCGAGCATAAGCATTTTGTATCCAAAAATATCCATTTTAAGATACTCTCTAAATTTGAACTAAAGCCCATACAAAGAAGAATGAGTAAGAATTGACAAATAAAACAGTATCTCAAAAATAAAACTTGTACTCACTTCAGCAGCACATATACTACAACTGAAACAATACTAAGGTTATCATGGCCCCTGCACAAGGAAGACATGCAAATTCAGGAAGCATCCCATGTTTTTCCACCAAAAACAAAGAAAAAAGTGTTAATTAAGCAAATAAATTGCCTGCCCTCTTGAACAGAAAATTGCATCCTTCATATGCAAAGATGTAAAATAAATAATAAACTCAGTGCATTTCACTGATGTTCATTTGCATTCCTGATTATGATAAAAAATAGTATTGAAATTGATAAATTCTTTTGTCAAAAATTTTGTTTTATATTTTTAGTGAATATATATTTTCAGCATTTAATCGACTAAAAGAAAATATGTATAAATATGTTCTGTCAATTGTTCCCTCATTTCTAACTGAGTGAATATAGTTGAGAAAAAATTATCACAAAAATAAGTCAAAGGGAAAATAAGTAAAAATTAAGTCAAAAAGAAAATAAGTAAAAAATAATTTAAGCTTTTTTTATTGAGTTATAATCGACATACAACATTATATTAGTTTAAGATGTACAACATAATGATTCAATATTTGTATGTATATTCAAAACAATCACCAAAATAAGCCTAGTTAACATCCATCACCATACAGTTACAAAATATTTTTTTCATGTGATGGGAACTTTAAAGATTTACTCTCTTAGCAACTTTCACATACACAGTACAGTTTTAACTACAGTCTCCATGCTGTACATTACATCTCCATGAGTCATTTATTTTATAACAAGAGGTTTGTACATTTTGACACCTCACCCATTCCCCTACCCCCCAACTCCCCACCTATGGCTAATAGCAGTCTGTTCTCTCTATCTGAGCAGTTTTTGTTTTCTGTTTTTTAAGACTATACATATAAATGAGATGATACAATGTTTTTCTCTATTTCATATTTCACTTCACATAGTACCCTCAAGGTCTACCCATAGTGTCACAAATGGCAAGATTTCATTCTTTTTTATGGCTGAATAATATTCCATTATATTTATATACCATATTTCTTTATCCCTTCATTTATCAATTGTCTGTTAGGTTGTTTCCATATGTTGGCTATTGTAAATAATGCTGCAATGAACATGGAGGTGCATATATCTTTTCGAGTTAGTGTTTTCATTTTCTTTGGGTAAATACCTAGAGGTAGAGTTGCTAGATCATATGATATTTCTATTTTTAATCTCCTGAGGAACCCCCATACTGCTTTCTGTAGTGGCTGCACCAATTTACATTCCATCATTGAACAAGGGCTCCCTTTTCTCCACATCCTCACCAACATTCAGTATTTCTTGTGATTTTGATACTAGCCATTCTGAGTTGTGTGAGGTGATATCTCACTGTGGTTTTGATTTGCATTTCCCTGATGATTAGAGATGTGAGCATCTTTTCATGTGTCTGTTGGCCATCTGTATGTCTTCCTTGGAAAAATATCTATTCAGTTCCTCTGCCCATTTTTTAATTGGATTATTAGGTTTTTTTAATGTTGAGTTGTATGCATTCTTTATATATTTTGAATATCAAAGCCTTATCAGATATATCATTTGTGAACATATTCTCCCATTCAGTAGGCTGTCTTTTCATAGGTTTCCTTCACTGTACAAAAGCTTTTTAGTTTGATAGAGTTCCAATTGTTGATCTTTTATTTTATTTATTTTGTTTTTGGTGTCAAATCTAAAAAAACCATTGTCAAGGCTATTGTCAAGGAATTTACTGCCTAAGAGTTTTATTGTTTCATCTTTTACAGTCATGTCTTCAATTTGAGTTAATTGTTGTGAATGATATAAGATACTGGTCCAATTTCATTCTTTCACATATGGTTCTCCAGTTTTCCCAACATCATTTATTGAAGAGACTGAGCTTTCCCCATTGTATATTATTGCTCCTTTGTCATAAATGACTTGACCATATATGCATGGGTTTCTTTCTGGACTTTCTGTTCTATTCCATTGATCTATTTTTTTTATGCTAATACCATACTGTTTTGATTAGTATAGTTTTGTAATATAGTTTGATCTCAGAGAATATGATGACTCCAGCTTTGTTTTTCTTTCTCAAGATTTAAAGTATTTAAAACCTCAGGAAATGTCAGACATATTGCATCATACCATGGATAAAATATTTGCAATATTAAAACATTTTCCTCACAAATTTTGCAGTGTTGGAATACTGCCAGTCTGTATTTTCTTCCAATATACATTATTGCATTACATCACTTAGATTTGTATTATGTACATTTACTTCCATCTTATAGGTATCATTAAAAACCAATGGATACTTCTATATTCATCTTAAAAAGAGGGAAGTTCAGTTAACTGAGAACAACTCTTGTTTTTCATTTCCTTTCATGTTGATTGGAATTTCAAAGTCATCTTGCAAAAACAAGGTCTATTTAACTACAAACTTAAAAAAAAAATCTGTCGTACCATATCATCTCGAGTACATGCCATCTCTGCAGACAGAAAAAGTAGATTGAGCCCCAAAGAGCAAATTTGGATTGTACAAGTACATTCAGAAGCTTCCAAGATAAAGATCATTTTACCTGAAAATGGAGTTGAAAGAATTTAAGAAAATGAGAGTCAAACTGGAATGGATTCCTGGGGAAAAAAGAGAGAAAAGAAGTGAGAGGGAGAGAGGGGGTGGGGTGGGGGAAGAGAAGAAAGAAGGAATAATAATGACAGTGACTCCAAGGGACCAGGAAGTATTTATAACATTCCTAGTTTTAGGCTTTATATTTCAACTCCTTCATCTTACAGATTAGAAAAGGAAACCCAGAGTTTGTGTGCTTCCCTCACATCAAAATACTCCCATAGGAGCTCTTTCTTGACCAAGGGGAAAGGTAGATAGCTTCTCTAAAAATGCTGTGTATTAAAAAGAGAACAAAATCTAGATTTTTAAAATGAAAATGTTTGATAAAGAAAAAACGATTATGGAAAATTGAGCTGATAGGTATATCCCACATTCAAGGGAAGGTCAACTTCAATCCAGAGGACTGGGCAAGTCACGCCTCCTCTCACCGTTACAAGGTTTTCTAGGATGACTGTAGAAGTTAAGACTCTCTTACTGTAACTCTAACTAAGCAAAGGAAGGAATTTGTTATGACGATAGAGAGACCTTGCATGGAACCCAAATATATGTGGTGGCCAAGCATCAGGAGAACGAGCCTGAGGACTTGAAAGCCTCCAGCAGCCTCTCGCCAGTGTCTGCCCCACCCTCTCTCATGCTGGAGTGTGGTTTTCTCTGCCTGCACACATCACAGCTAATGCATGCCCAGGTGGCTGAGACTTTCAGTCCTGTTTTAATCAGCCACAAAAGAGCTGTTACTGCTTCTGCTCAGTCTTTCCTGTCGAATCTCTTTGTTTTTTGTTCCAGGAAAAGGAGGATTGGGTTTTAACCACTGCACAGCCAGCCAGCTCTCCTAAAAGCTGGGTCATCTCTTCCTGGTAGTCCTGGGCATCCTGGAACTTATGCAAAGAAATTCCAACACGGTGCTGGGTCTTATTTGTTTATTAAACTTGTTATTTTGGGGTTTATCTTTTTATTTTGTGTTATATTTTGTTATTCCTTGTGACATACTTTCTTACATGTTTCCATTTTTAAATATGCCTGTATTTTCTACATAAAAATATATTAAATAGATGCTGCTCCACTCTCACAAAATGTACATACTCTGCTATCTATTGAGAAAGTTCCTGGGACACATTTTTATCAGTTACTTAAAATGATTTTTCAATTAAAATATATTTTGCTACTAAATAATATTTTGCTGAATAGTGCCATTTTGTGAGGTAGCCTGGGAATAATGAAGAGGATTAATGATCTCTCATCTATGCTATTGGCACAATACAAGATCACATGTAGTGTAAAGAGAAATTACAATAAAGGAGACCCTTCGTTTAGTTCTGTCTTCTTTACAATATGTGTAACGATTAAGGTTTCCTTTCATTTAATCTAACTATTGAACTATTAACCCTTCACACAGAATGCTGTCCCGGTGCTGAGAGCAGCCTGGCTAATTACTTTCCCAACATTTGGAAAACTGTAGGCATCGGCTTAGTGGATGGAGGAAAAAGCATTATGATCCTGGTTCACAAGATGAAGTGCTTTATTTCTTCTCACAGCTGGAATAGGCAATGCAAGAACTGGAAGATTAACAGAGAGCCCATTTCTGGGTCATAATCCCACAGCTCACTGCTTTGGGAGACATGAGATAAGAATAGGAGGACAGGGAAAGGGAAGGAAAAAGGCAAATGGGAAAAGTTCCCCAGAATTATGCTCCTGGTCCTACTTGCGAAAAAGAATTGAGGTTACCCAGGCAGAGCCGAGCTGCCCCTCAGCTCCTACTGCTTACCTGCCTCCATCACTATACTTCCACCAGGATAAGGACTTCCCCAGACTTCTGGAAAGTAAAGCCAAACACTAGATTTTGTTTAGGATAGGAAAATTACAATCAACTCACCTCAATCCTCTGGGAGAATTGTTCCAACATACGGCATGAGATCCGTTGTAACACTGTGGAGAAATGTAGGAAAGATGAAAATGAGCTTGATGGTCCTAGTGGTTCTCTTTACTGCCCTGCACTTCCCTCAGCCATTGATTTCTCCTCACCAACAAAACACAATGAATTCTTACCATGTGAGAAAATACTCAACCTCACAAATCTGGTATGCAAATTCAAACAGTGAGAAACCATTTTATCTGATTAGCAGTGACTTGTTTTTAATGTTAATAAACAGTACTGGCAAATGTGGAATGCAATAGGAAATTTTATAGATTGTCAATGAGAGTGTGAATGACTATAATTTTAGAAAGCACCTTGACAATATGTATTCTTAAAAGTATTTTTATATGCTTTGAGCTAATATAAAGCAAGTGTTAGACATAATAAAGTTCATCATAGCATAATTATTATAGGTGAAAATGTGTACATGGACTCTAAACTATACTACCTTAAGCACATTTCTGAATCACATTATTTCTAGCCTTCAACGAGAAGGCAGTAACATGGAACATGCATGCAGTATAAGGTTAAATGAGGAAAAAAGGACATAAAATTTTCCTGACTCATATGGTTAAAAAAATCTACA